AATTTTGATAAGAGAAGTATAAATTTCAAAAAATATAGAGGCCGAACCCCTATGTGTTGATTAGACAAAATTTTAAGCTCTCCCCTTGTTTATTGGTCCAGGTTTTGAAATCTTCGAGGATTCAATGAAGGATCAAAATTTTGATACGATACACCCTGTATCAAGTGTATTGTATCTTGGACGTCTCAATACACCTGTTTATAGGTGTTTTTGGGAACCCATTTTTTAAAATAATTATATATATATATATATATATTTAAAAATTAAATTGAAAATCAAAAGAATAAAAAATGGGGAGTATCATTATAAGTACCGATACACCTCTACCAATACACAAAAGTGTATCGATATTTTCAACCATGGATTCAATACAACAGTTAGCAATGTTTGTGTTAATTAAACCCTAACAAATAAGAAAATAATAAAAAGAAATTAATATATAAATACATAAGATGAATATTCTAGTTTAATAATCTCTATTTTATAATTATAATATCAAAAAAATTAAAAATATAAAAGTATTTTATAAAACAGTGCACAAAACTTCTTGGCAACATGGTTTGGCACAAATTACTACGATAAGGTGCTCAAGATTGCCGAGATATCTCTTCCACTGCTGCCATGGGGAAAGGTAAGTCATCCTCTCCTTTTCATTTTATTCCATAATTTACTTGTATAGAAGCTTATTAAATATGTCTGCATGCGTTGGCTGATTTTCATGTATCTAGACCTGAACAAATTCTGGTTATTTGCTCAAAATTTGTATGTATCTAATGTCTTCCTCTAAATGGGTTTAATTGAAGAAGTAACCGGAGCAGTTCAAAGAAACTTGGACTCGGCCGGGAACCATGAGAATCAGAGAAGACGACAACATTGTGATAATGAAGTCAAGAATGTAGAAGGCGATACCCTATTACAAGGCCTACATAGAAATGCTACATTTTTTATTAAGTTTATCATCTTAACTGCTTGGCTTCGTATTTTTGCTTCAATGAATCCCGTTTGTCCAATCGAAACCTGACGAGTGCCGACTGCCGGACAGAGTTCTTAACTGATCCTAAATCTTGTTAATGAATTAGGTTGTTGAAGAATTGGAGGGGTTGACTTATTTACTACTGGGATTAAACCTTCACTGATACTGGAATTAAAATGGCATCTGAGCTCTATAATTGCTTTTGTTTGAGTTGACAGCGTACTTCAAATACAATTTCCCATCTTCTTGAATGTTTGTTGATCATGAAGAGCAGGTCAGTGAACTCAAACACATTCTGAGAAAATGAATTTCTCTATATTAAGAATCTTTGCAATGAAGAAACCAAAATCAAAACCAGCTTGTTTCTGTTACAGAGATAAAATTGAATTCCGTTTCTCTGCCCGTCCTCTCTCTTTCTCTCAATATACCCCCTAGTCTCCTTGTCCAAATTCTTCAGAAAACCCAAAACAATCCTGAAATCTCACTGGGTTTCTTCAATTCAATCAAAACTAATCTAGGCTTCGAATCAGATCTCAATACTCACCACATTCTATACCAATACGGCAATACCTAAAATGACTTCACAAATATTGTTTACCACAGTACCAGACATTTGCATGATTTGTGATGAAACACTTCAAAACTAGCCAACTCCCTTTACAGGAGAGAGGACCTAGACCAATGTGAGGCATGAAACCAGATAATAATCCTTCGCCATGCTCCATAGATAGCTTATTATAAAATTGCAAAGATAATAGAACAACAATCTATACACAAGCTCTAAGAAGCAATTAGCACTTAGGAAATTATGAGAGAGAAACTTAGCTTTTACACACAAATAGGCTCTGATTTAAGAACCATTAGATTGGAACATGATAACAAGTTATACGTAACTTCCTAGCTTGAAGCCACACCATTCTTCAGATATAAATAGGAGACTTTGTCCAGAAAGTTTAGAAGTACATACAATATATGCAATTTCAAGATTCAATCAATCCCCCACCCCAAAAAGGTATTAATCAGGTTCATTTAGGCTCCGTTTGGTTTGTGGGAAGATTTGGGTGGGATGGGAAAAGATGGGATGGGAAAATGTAAAAATTTAAGTTTCTATTGTTTGGTTTTATTGGGATGGGATGGGATGAGAAAATGTAAAAAGGGAGAGAAGTTTGGGAAGCAATCCACTATTCATCCTCGTCCTCCTCTTGACCGAACAGAGTGGTGACTAGAAAGAGAAATGACTAGGAAGAGAAGCGCAGATCTGAACAGAGCGGCAACTACGAAGCAATCCACTATTCTTCTCTCTTCTCCTTCTTCCCTTCTTCCCTCATTTTTTCTCTCGCTCCATTTCGTCACTGCTGCTGCAAGTTGCAGCGGCGGTAGATCTGCACGTCCCTTCATATCTGTATCTGCGAAGTTTAGGAAGCAATCCATTATTCATCCTCGTCCTCCTCTCGACCGAACAGAGCGGTGACTAGAAAGAGAAGTGACTAGGAAGAGAAGCGCAGATCTGAACAGAGCGGCAACTACGAAGCAATCCACTATTCTTCTCTCTTCTCCTTCTTCTTCCCCTCTTCCCCCATTTTTTCTCTCGCTCCATTTCGTCACTGCTGCTGCAAGTTGCAGCGACGGTAGATCTGCACATCCCTTCATATCTGTATCTGTGACTGTATCTGCGAACCCAGAAGAAGAAAGAGAAGAAGAGAGGAGAGAGGGAACAGTCGTTTCTCACATTTTTCCACTGGGGTCGCACGGTTTTGGTGCGACCTCAAATCCACCATTTTGGGATCTGACATTCCACATTTTTCTCATCCCATCCCTCTCTTTCCCTCAAAACAAATGAAAGAAAAAGGAATATTTTCGGAATATTCCCTTTTTCTCATCCCCATCCCACAAACCAAACGGAGCCTTAGGAAATCCCAGAATGAATTTTGAGAAATTCCTTGACCCTAAAATCCCTTATGAATTTTCCCTCAACTTTCTGTTTCTCTCTTATTTTCTATCAAACCCTTTGAAGCCCATTGCAGTATGGTCATCTTGGTATATTATGATCCAATTCCCCAATGTACCTATTTGGAGCTGAGGCTAAATATTTGGCATCTATAGTTGAGATTTCATTTGGAATGATCCCAAGGATGCCTAACTAAATGCCTATATGGAAGATGGTTGACTAAGGAGAGGATTTCAAGAAGAGTTATTTTGAGGATCTCTCCTCAAGGGCAGCATTTTAGTATTGTTTGCACTTGATGTCTATCCTAACTATATGCCTATATGGAAGATGGTTGACTAAGGAGAGGATTACAAGAAGAGTTATTTTGAGGATCTCTCCTCATGGGCAGCATTTTAGTATTGTTTGCACTTGATGTCTATCCTATTTCTGCTCTTTTTTGTAGCTTGCCTCCTCTTGGGGCTTCCTTGGTCTCTTCCTCTTCTGAGGGACTGTCTTTTGTACTCTTTGGCTTTTTCCATTTTATTAATAAATCTCTTTTGGTTGTTATTGATAAAAGAGTATAAATGAAGATAGCAACAAAGATAACATCAGGAAGGTACATGACAATAGCAGTTATCATTGTAATGCAGGAAACAAGTGAGGGAAGGGTAAAATATTGATTTGGAAGAGATTTGAACAATACCAGGAAATAATAATAATGGGAAACCACTATAGTGGTTGTGGTTAAAGCAGTTTGAGCCTTGGCATTTGATTGAAGAGTACAAAACCAATGAAATCATTTTCCTTCTTTTGAGAAGACATATGAATAACATTATCAATTCTTTGGAAAAAAAATCTTCTGCATTGGTGGTAGTTTTGAACTTAACACTATTCAAAATTTTCGATATTGATAAAAAAAAAAAATTGAATAAGAATTACCTTCCAACATAGCATTAACTCTGCAATCTTTAAAATTTCACAAGTTCAACGATTGTGTATTTCATAGTTTTCAAAGTGCCTAGTACCCTACCAAGGTGAGGTTAGGTGACAAGGTGCACCTTGTTGCCTAGTAGCCTAGCTGCCTAGGCGACGGATATTTTTAAATAAAAATAATCATGAATTCTAGGGTTATTCCCTAGGTTCATAGCATCTAGCAACCATCTTTCACTAGTAATTAGAAATAATCTTCAATAGAAAAAGTATAAAGTTCAAATAGTAACATAAAAAATCAACATATTAATGAGAAAAAAACAAGAAAAGAAATTCAGAAGATACAAGGGTTGTGGAATGTGGACCAGTTTTTGTTAAAAGAAGACAGCATATACTATATACCAACATGTGTATTTATTGAACCAAGACAAATAAGAAAATAATAAAAAGAAACTAGTATTTTTTTCGACAGAAAAAGAATAAAGAAATTTTCTTAAAATAAAAAAGAGAATGATTACACCCACCAAAAATGTTAAAGCAACACCTTAACAACAACACTATAAACCCACAAAATGAATGGTTTAGTTTAATAATGCCTATTTTACTATAATGATCTCACAAAAAATAATGAATATAAAAACATTTCATAGCACCATATACAAAAGCTTAAGCAAGGAAACCCTCCACAGACACCTTGTCACCTAGGCATTGCCTTGACAACTATGGTGTATTTTCATATGCCTTTCTATGGTTGCTCCATGAGCAATCGATCTCCATAACAATGATTCCATTTTCTGAAAAATTTTTGCACTGTAGTCGAAAGAAACAAATGTTAAAATAAACCATGGTGCACCGACTGTCTTAAGCTATTAGTCATATGTGATCTGAAAAAGCATACCAAGTTATCAAAGTGCATTCTTTGATTAGTGATATTGTGCACCACCAATAAGAAAAGGGCATTCGAACACAATTGTTTTTTTCAAATTTATATCTGCCAATATATGTAATAAACTATAATAGTGTATAACGGTTCTTCAGTTGCAAAAAGTGAAATATTTTGAAGAATGGAGGATGAACCCAAATGTCACAGGGCATTTTAAAATCTGAAGCAACACAGTCAAAATCCAGTAGCTATCAGACCATCAAATGGAACATAAGATGAAAACCTCATAATAAAAGCACAACTTCAACATTCTAGGCGTCAAGAAAAATTCAAAGAGCAAACTACAATTTTCTTTATAATGATTTAAAACTCAACAAGTGTTATGTTGCAATATCATAATTCAGAAACACAAAGCGAGTTAAAAGTACTTTCAAGTTCTAACTAACACAAATTCCTCACCTCACGGAATATATTCAAAAGTTCAATCAGCTGCAATCTCATTTCCAGCTATTAGGCCAGAAGCCATGAATTCCATATCCCGTCTTCCAGTTGTCCAAATAAATAACTTTCTTCACAGCCCAAAACGAAACCAAGAGCACGAATACCATAGACACCCTCTGCACAGTCACATTCCTAACCCGAATAAGCAAATGTGTCACGAAGGCCAACAACAACCCCACCACCGTATACAGGAATCCTATAGCAAATCCCTCTGCTCCGAGTTGCATTCCCGACCCCTGGTAGAAGAAGATGAGTTTTGACGGATCGTTCCGGTCAACCAAGAACATGGGCATTTTCCTAATTATGTTATGCATTGCCCCAGAAACACTGAAGAAGTAAACGAACACTGCAAGCGCCAACCACAGCTTTGAGTCATGAAGCAGGGTGTCCCCGGCGAGAACCCTTTTCACAAGGAACGGAGCCCATATCATCAGTACAACCGCCAAAAGCCCTAGTTGCTTATTGGAGATAACTGGAGGGCGTTCAATAGGACCCACTGTGAGCTTGGTCTTGGACTGGATGAAATCGGCCATGGATTCAGCCAATCTGGAGAAGTCGCTTTGGTCCATCGGTTCGGAATCCTTGAGGTTTTGGATCTGGGGACCGACATGGCGGATGTGAGGGAGGGAATTGACGCCGAAAAGGGCGAAGGTCGATTGAGATTCTTTGAATTCGATGTCGCAGAAGAAGAGTTTCGATTGGGCAGGGGTATCCTTGTTGTTGGAGATGAAAGCAGAGGAGACGAGGCCGAATTCGTTGCGGAGGTCATGGAGATGGAGCTCGTGCTTGTCGTGGAGTTGGACGGCATCGAAGAAAATGAAGAGCGAGTACGATCTAGGTTTTGCGGAGGTCAGGAAGCGATTGAGGCTGTGGTCGTCGAGATGGATCACACCAGACTTGGATCGAGACTGGATGTTCAGGAGCTCCGCGACTCGGTCCGAATCCGACTCAGCGGAAGCTTGGAAGAGAATGATAGATGGAGAAAGGATAATAGCGAGGAGGAGGAGGAGGTGAGAGAGAGTTGGAATTGACATTTTCCTTGATCTATTCCCACTGCAGGCAGAGCAGCGGCGGAAGACAAGGTTCGCAGGTCAGAACTCTTCTTTGTTTCGGTCCTTTCGGACTTTTCGGTCGAGGGGAGGTAAGGTAAGAAAAAGAACAGAGACGACGGATTGACGTTTACTCACTAATTTACGCCGTTCGTGTACTGATAGTCAAAGTCAAGTAATAAGTTCATTAAGTTGAACGGAAGAGTGGAGCGGGATCGAATCGCGGGAGCGTCATTAAAGAGATCCTATCCGGCTAGGCGGCTACCCGTAGAGCCCTACCTCACGACTTCACGAGTTCAGATCTGCGCAGATGTTCCCGGGAGCGTCATCGGGTCTGCTACCCGGGAGAATCATCGGGGTCTGGTACTATCATTGAGAGATGTTTGCGGGGATGTGTTGTGGAATATTGTGGGGGTGCATACCTCAACTCCTATTTCATTTTTATAGATCATTCTGGCAAATTTTTTTGTAAAACTATACTGCACTCCAGTTTACAATTCTAAATTCACCTTCCCCAATTGTATCATGGAGGTAGGATTTGTTGTGGTGGACTGAACAATAAAAACTCTAATTTTTTTGAGAAAAATTCCACTAGTACCTTGAATTTTGGGATAGTGTTATTGTCAATTTAGTATCCGAACTTTCAAACGTGTCACTACTAGGATAGGTGAACGACAGGGACCAACTATCTTTTGAAGGGTAACTTTGACATTTAGGTCACTGTAGTACCTAAACTTTGAAGGGTAACTGAACCATCAATTTAGTATCTGAACATTGGGGTAGTGTCAATTTAGGTCACTGTAGTACCTAAACTTTGAAGGGTACCTACACTTTTGAAGGGTAACTTTGAAATTGAACGTCAGGGACCGTAAATTATCTATTCATATATTTTAAACTTTCAAAATTGATGGTTCAGTTATCCACTGAACCAATTATCTTTAAAGAAAAAGAGAAAAAAAATATATATGAAATATAATAGAGGAAAACAATAACTGAAAGCAAAGAAATAATTAGACAATAATGTGTTTCAGATCTAAAGGTAGAAGACAATGACTTCATTAGTCTAGAATCTCAAACACTTCAACCGGTTCAGTCTCAAGGTAGAAGACAATGAACAATGTCTTCTTTTAAAGGGTAGTTTTGACATTTTCAATAGATAATTGACGGTTAGTTAACGACAGGGACCAACTTGACACTTTTTGAAAGTTTAGGTACTACAGTGACACATTTGAAAGTTTGGGTACTAACTTGACACTACCCCAAAGTTCAAGGTACTAAAGTGAAATTTTCCCTTTTTTTGGTAAAAGCAAATCATTTAGGCATTCAATTACCATGTCTAGACTCCAAAACCAGATTTGCACCTTGAGAAGCCTCAAGAGTCAATTCTCATGACGTAAGGTGTAGCTCGAGGCATAAAAAGGCGTTAAGTTCAAGTATCAACCATAATTTAGCTATTTAATATAAAATATATATTTATGCATTTTTATAGTTCAAAATATATGAATAAAGTATTTCAATAATTATGAGCCAAATAAATAAAAAGAGTAAAAATGAAAAACCAACAAGGAAAATCAGGTTTTATTAGTTTCTTTTAGTGTTTTAGGAGAGTTCAATGTAAAAAACGCCAATCAAGTTCTTAGTTTCTCTTGGATGTATCAAGTGAAACTATTTTCTAATTATTTTAAATATAGCCTCCCAAGTTGTCTTCTTTCTTCTAAACTATTGAATGACCATAAATCTAATATCCAATTATACAGATGATTCTTCATATGCTTCTTTTCTTCTAAATTGGTTATTTGAATTGTTTGAGAAATTTGCATTTTGAAATATGAAGTGTAAAATGTTTATAATTGTTAGTTGATTAGTTATTATTTTATTTAGGGTAAATTTCTTAAAGCACCCCTATGGTTTGGGAAATTGACTAATTCTACCCTTAAGTTTTTTGACAATTGTCTAAAAGCTCCCTTGTCGTTAACTTTCCATCATACTGTTCACATGTGACTAATATATTTTCAAAAAATTCTAAAATACCCTATATTATTTTAGGAGGTTGGGAGACTTGTAATTAGTTGATAATCACTATTAATTCATCTCTAACTTAAACAAATTGAGGCCCTCCACACCATCCCGATTTCTTTGTTTAGAGATCATCGAGAAGAAAGAGCATGTATGATTCCTCATCTTAAATTTGCAACTTTTCATCAACACCTAAGTTTCACTAGATCTTTGCTTTTCCTTTCCTTTCAATGAACATCTTATGATTGTTCGAAGAAATGTCTCATGTAGAGATCGACTTGATCTATAGGCTTTTGTTATGGTGAAATTATCTAGTGCCCAGAGGTTTCTCAAGTAAATAGGGTTGGGGAAGGAGGATTACTACCTTTAGAAGTGATGTCACGTGATCTAGTGGCTCTTACATGGTAGATGACTCGGACATTGAATCAAATGTTTGTAGTCGGTGGCTCAGCTGAGATGGCCAAGCTAAGGTTGGCCGAGTTGTATGATTTTGCAAAAGGGGAGAGTTAGAGTGCTCGGATTGTTTTTACTTAGGGTGGGCACTCTGATACGTAAGTCAGTGAGGATTTCTTAGAATGCTTTAGGAGATTAAAGAGTGCAAGAGCTTAATCACGCATACCTCTTTAGGTAGAAATGAATCCTTTATATAGGTGTGGGTGCTCAAAGACCTTCTCAAAACGGGTCTCAGGTCCTTGTAGAGCCATTTCTGTTAAGTTGGGGAGTAATGTCAGTTACATAATCTGTGCAAAGGGATAAGGTCCGTCCGATTGGCTCTGATGCGCATGATGTGTGTAGGCTAGCCTAACGGTCAACTCACTAATGTTCCAGAGAACTCGGTCTGACAACAGATCTATGTGAAAAGTCAACGAGCATGCCTTGTAGGTTGCCTAAAGTACTTTTCTTACCTCTGCTGGTCCCTTAGGTAGGTCGCTCTTTAGTTGGTGGTCCTTCAAGTTAGTCGGGCTGATGTACTTTTAGGTCAGCCTTGCGAGGAGCTTCAAGCCGACCTGTCGAGGTGATCACCTTACTTAGCACCGAGGTGTCACTTGAAAGCCACATGTCCTGATGTCACTCAGAGGACCAAATTACCCCTCATAATGAAGCAAATAAGCAAAGCTCTACTCTATACCTACACAATGTTCAGTATGGCTTGGTTGTGGAATGAAACATCTCTGCTTGGTTGGTGGACGTTGAAACCTCAATTTAAGGAGGAGAAAGATATGGCCCACCTGTATGAGCGTAGGAGATTTCCATACCTAGGTAACAAAGAGGCAGTTGAGGAGTTTATTGCAAGTGGGGGCGCTCTTAGTACCACCATTGGTCCTAGAGGAGTTTATTGGGAGTTTTCCACTCTCAAAGTCAAAGCCTCCCACTTCATTGCCTTTCAAGGTTTATGACCCCCCTCTCTCTCCCATGTTTGTTGTTTATAGAACAACACACCAGTAGGTAGGGCCTAGGGGTGGCAATTTTTCACCCAACCCGCCCATTTACTTGGTGGGTCGTGTGATCAACCCATCACCCAATCCATCCATTTAAATGGGTTGGGTTGTGGATAACCATTGGGTTAACCATTACATACATAAGTATTAATTCCTTAGCCTTTTTTTTTAATTTTCTTCATTTGAATTAAATAATTTATAATTAATGCATTAATTTTCTATTAATTATTGACTAAATTTAGTTTTGTCTTGAATCAACACACTTTATCCAACATAAATCCAAATCAATTTGACCCAAGTTCAGACCAGTTCAACGCAGTTTGACCCAATCCAACATATACCGATTCGGGTCAACCTAAATCAGAAATAGACCCCGGGCGGGGTGGTTCGGTATCACTTGCTCTGCCTAGTTTGGGTCGTCCGATCCAACTAGTATTCACACAGCCCGACCCGACCTGACACAAGCCTATCCAAGTCAACCCGAATTCGAAATAGACTCCGGACGGGATGATTCAGTACCGCTTGCTCTGCTTGGTTTGGGTTGTCCGGTCCAACCAGTATTCACACAGTTGACCCGACCCAGTACAGGTCGATCCGGGTCGACCAGAATCCAAAATAGTTCCGGGTGGGATGGTTTGGTGTCCATGTGCTTTGCCCAGTCAGGACTGTCCGGCCGACCAATATCCACACAACCCAACCCGATTTACTTACGTTGAGTCAGTCGATTTGGTCCCAAATTAGTGCACAGACATGATATGGTCCGGTCCAAGTCAATCCACCATTGACTGAATCGGTTCGGTTCGACCAGATTGATCCAGATCTAAACGGTTCAACCACCCTTGATGTGATTAGGTCGAAGATAATCCAATTAGATTGTTCAAGTTGGTCTGACCAGTTTGAACCTAAGTTGTTCGGTCAAACCCAAAATTCGAACATAGTCAAATGGCTTCGCCACTTTGTGTAAAAATAGCATGCATGTAATGTGATTTGAACCTTTACCACTTGTGTAAATAATAACTACAATTACCACCAAGCTATGGCCAACTTATTTGTTAAGAGAGAGTTGGTTTGTTTTTTAAGTCCATAATATTAGATTAATGGGTTTGGGCGGGTTGGATTAGGTTAAAGCGTGTTTGGGTTGAACCCAACCCATTTAATTTTATATAGCTGGGTCATTAATGGGTTGGCGGGTTAGATGGGTTGGGTTGAAGCTCAACCCAAACCAAACCCAACCCAACCTGCCCAATTTCCACCACTACCAGTAGGTTCGCCTTTACATTATAAAATCAGTTTGTGGTTGCTCAGCTTCACCTCTTTCTCTTCCCTCATAACCTCTCCCACTTAGAATGCCTTCAATCTGAACCATCATGAAGATATGAGGAGCAAATCGTAGTTCTTGAAAATTTTCATTAATTGAACTTTATTTTGAAAAATTGAAGAATAGTGGAGGGTAAATTTGACATTTTATTTTTTCCCATGTTAAAGCACCCCCAAGGTTTAGGGTATTGACTGACTCTGCCCTTATTGTTCACATATTGTCTTAAAGTACCCCCAAGTTTTTTTACAATGGCCATCATTGTGAAGTATTGATGGAAATGATGAAATACTAGTTTTACCCTTTTGTTAAATCCTGCCTCAAAAGGATATCCGCCGTGGACCGTAGAAAGGAAGAACTCCATTACCTACAATGGTAACAACTGCAACTTCTTACCAGCAACTTCCATTACCTACTCTACGGCATTGCTTATGGACACACTTGGTTTGGGAGATGGGGTTATAGGTTCGTATGAGGGAGCTATGGGGCCATAGAAGAACAATACAATGACACTCTCGAGATTCTCAGCTCATTGAATCTCGATCATATCATCGATGAGTTCATCAACACTCGCTATAACAAAAAAAATCAAGCAAATCATTTGCAACTATAGAGATA